CAGCGTGCAGCATTATCCTTTTTTCTGGCTGTTCCTCTCTATGAAGGTCTACATTTGGGAGGTAGAGTAAAACTGTGGTAAATTTGTTAGACTGTAAGCTTAGATGGATGAAGGGTATAATACAACTGGTGTGTTCACACAGTAAAGGGTCATGAAGTGTTATGTGGAGGAATAGAGTAAAACAATTCTGCAATGGTCAGTAGCCCATAGCAACCCATCATACTTCAGTTTACTGAGGCAGGCCAGGTACCAGGTCATTTCCAATGTGCTATGTGGAATTATATTCGGTACCCAACATTCTGCCAAGCTGAATAAGCTAGTAGTGGTTTTTTTTTTGTAAAGCAGATAGATATTGCACATCTAATTCTATGTGGAATGCCACACATGAAACTTTTGCTCTTGTTGAAACCAGTTCTCATACACAGCCAGATATAGAAATCCCAATTTAACAGGTAATCATCATCTGAGAATAAACCAAACACCTATAAATAGATGTTCAGATAGCTAGACTTATGTAATGTAAGAGGAGATTAAGGGGGGATATGATCAACATGTATAAATACATCAGTGGTTCATATAGTGAACTCGGTGTAGAGCTATTCACCCTGAGGTCATCACAGAGGATAAGGGGGCACTCTTTACGTCTGGAGGAAAAAAAAATGTAATCTCCAAACACAGAAAGGTTTCTTCACAGTGAGAGAGCTGTGAAAATGTGGAATAGACTCCCTCAACAGTTGGTTCTGGCCAGCTCTGTGGATTGCTTCAAAAAAGGCCTGGATTCTTTTATACATTTATAGGTAAAGTTGATCCAGGGAATATCTGATTGCCTCTCGGGGGATCAGGAAGGAATTTTTTTCCCAGCAGGAGCAAATTGGATCAAGCTTTGCTGGGTTTTTTTTTGCCTTCCTCTGGATCAACTGTGGGTGTAGGCTTTTGTCTTTTTTCAGCCAGACTAACTATGTAACTATGTAATGTAGAGATGCATTTCCTTATCTCTGCTCGCTGATAAGTGTTTTATATTTTTCAAGCTCTTCTGGTCTTTGGTGCTCAAGCACTTTCATTTTCACAATTCCTGTCAGTCGCTCTGTGGAGGAGGCTCCAGAATCCTTTGTCAGGAGTTTGTTTCTCAGAATCTTATCTGTCTTCTTAGCTGGCCAACCCCTGCTGAGTTTGTCATCAGTTTGCTGAACCAGGCTTTGACATAACTGCTGAGTCCTGTTCTGAGGGGTTGAGAAGGATGTGTTGACAGTTTGACCCCTTCCATCAGCCAGAGCTGGAGCCCTTGCCTAGAGAGCATCATCCCTTTGTGTAAGCAGGGTCTGCCTGGAGACCATGTGAGCCTAATTGTGTGCTATGGTAGCATGATCATTGGAATGAAGGAACAATGAACCTCTTGTTTTGTTGATGCTGCTCTCCATTTGAAACTGTGTAATGCTCCTGGATCTGAGACCCACTCACAAACTGATAGTGGAAGAGTATACGCCCCCTGAGAATTTGGTTGTTCCGCCTCCTTCCATCCTGTTGTGTCCTACCCAGGGGCGGACTGACAACTCATGGGTCCCCCGGGCAATAGGGGATCATGGGGCCCCTGTGTCCTTGCCCAAACTCAAAAAAGCCTATGAAAAAGGTACCAGGGGCATCTCATGGGGCCCCCTACTGACCCCGGGCCCTTGGGCAGTGCCCAAGTTTCCAAATGGTCAGTCCGCCCCTGGTCCTACCTTTTATCAGGTCAGAATAAATTGTTAACCAGTATTCAAGTTTGCATTTACACTTCCTAGTCTACAGAAAAACCCTGTTTTAAAAATTTTCTTTCCAAATATATTGCCATATATTTGAAATGCTACAATTTTGGCCATATTCAATATATTTCAATATATATATATACATACACACTGCATGTTGAAATGCGTTTTTATTACAAAATATATGAAAAATATTTTTAAAAATACATTTCAAATATAATTTATGGCTTTAAAAATACAGATCTACATTTTTGGAATGCATTTACGATATTTTATGTAAAAATATATGTTAAAATTACTTTTTATATGTTAAAAAAATATGAAGAATATATTTAAAAAAATATTTTTTAAAAATATATATTTTTTTAAAATATATTCTTCAGATTTTTTTAACATATAAAAAAGTAATTTTAACATATATTTTACATATATTTGAAATGCACTCCAAAACTGTAGATTTGTATTTTTAAAGGCATGCAGTATATTTGAAATGTATTTTTAAAAATATTTTCCATATGTTTTGTAATAAAAACGCATTTCAACATGCAGTGTGTGTGTGTGTGTATATATATATATATATATATATATATATATATATTGAAAATGGCCAAAATTGTAGCATTTTAAATATATTTTTTCTTCCATGTGGGAAGCACCTTAACACAAGCTGTCTTAGTGGGGTCCCCCCCCGCAAGCTAAGGCTCTATATGGGAAGCCACTAAACCCTTATGAACTCTGAGTAACCTTAAATACTCACGTAACAGAGACTGTTAGTCAAGTGCTGCTACAGTGTTGGGTGTAAATTGTTGCAAGGTGAGAACAATCTAACATGACCCCCACCTCCCTATCCAAAAGGGTTACAGTAAGTTATGACTCAAAGTGCAGTAGTTGTGATATATGGTTAGTATACCAGACTAGTCAATGAGCCTCCAAAGGTGTGCAAAGAGGAGGTACGCCTAGAAATCCCCCCTGATGAAAGCATGCAAGGCAAAGCCTAGGTTGGGAGAGTTAAGATCTTTTTGCTTGCTGTATGCCTTCAGGACTTCTTCAGACCTTTGCTTTACAGTAACGTACGGTATTTGTAATGCCTTATTTAATAAGCCTGATTGGGCACAGTACTGACGTTACAAATTCCATTTCAGAATTCTCTCCATAATTTACTTTCAGGCTTCATCAGTTTAATTATTCTTACAATAGTTTCTTCTTTGAAATAATGGGGTCAGTGCCTATAATTACTGCAGATGAGAGCCAAGCCAAAACACCATTATGTAAAGATGAATCCAAACTAGCAGCGATTAGCAGAATCAGCCCAAATTCCAAAACTGTTTGACGTGAATACAGCTGAAGAGTGCTTGGAGGCAGTGAACTAGCTCACGCCTGTGAATAATAACATGAACATTTATGGTCTTTTTTAAAGTAAGTCTAAACCCCTTAACTGAAATCTCATTTAATGTGTTAATGTAATTTCATAAGTTGTTTTCTTGTGTCATTTCATTTCTGAAACCTTAATTATAAGAATACCTGGTGCTGCTGCCATGAAGGTTAAAGGATAAGTTCACCTTCTGTAACATGTAACATGTTACAATCAGACCGGTCCCCACTCCCTGCTTTGACAGCGGCTGTGCGGGGCTCCACCTGGCCAGCTGTGTCACTCATTTACAGTCCTCTGTGAATGAGAGACTACAAGTACTGACAGCCTTAGCAGCTGTCAGCTTGTAGTCGTTAATGAACTAACACTGTGCTATGAAGCGCCATGGTAGTTCATTCATTCTTCCTGTCAGTATATCTGCATGCTCGTACATCCTGTATGGGCAAGCAGATATATTGACAGATCTGCAGGAGACCTGCATGATACCAGCAATCTGCTGATCTCTGATGCAATACTTTACAGGCTCCTGCAGGCAAATATAATAAATGCACATTTATTAACCAGCAAAAAAATGTGCTTTTATTATTTTTTACTAAAAGGTGAACATATCTTTTAAGGCAGCTCCTGTTTGGTTTGACCACTGTATCCCAACTGTCCACTTGTCACCATGTCACACGAGCCCCTGGTTGAGTCTTCAAGTGGCTGTGCCAACACACATTGATCAGGTATGGTCCACTATTGTAAGAAAGCTGGTACAGAGCAATAATGTGAAGCTAACACTGAAGCAAGTACACGTAATGGCTGAAAAGGAATGAGAATAGCAGCAGTGCTGAGATGTAAGAAAAAAGGAAGAAAAAGGTCAAAACAGTATTTTATAAAAAAAGACACATTCATGATGCACAGTGCTTTACCAAACTAAATGATTTCCAGATAGGTTTTAGATCTACTAAATGTATTTTTATACTTGTCTTTTGCTCAGCATAATATAAATACCACGTAACCAGCATAACATAAATTACCAATGTGTCTTTTAAGAACTTTCATGCTGTATCTAGTTTACTCATGTGCAGTACATGCAGAAGTCAACATTTGATTGTTACATATACTGTAGAAAGTGTGCTTTTAAATATATATATATATATATATATATATATTTTAATATTATATATATATATACATGCATACTATATTGCCAAAAGTATTGGGACACCCCTCCAAATCATTGGATTCAGATGTTCCAATCATCTTCATGGCCACAGGTGTATAAAATCATCACCTAGGCATGCAGACTGCTTCTAAAAACATTTGTGAAAGAATGGGTTGCTCTCAGGAGCTCAGTGGATTCAACATGATAGGTTGCCACCTGTGCAATAAGTCCATCCATGAAATTTCCTTGTTACTAAATGTTCCATGGTCAACTGTTACTGGTATTATAAGAAAGTGGAAACAACTGGGAACAACAGCAACTCAGCCATGAAGTGGTAGACAACGAAAAATGACAAAGTGGGGTCAGCACATGGTGAAGCACCCAATGCACAGGAGTCACCAACTGTCTGCGGAGACAATAGCTAAAGACCTCCAAACTTCATGTGGCCCTATTAGTCTCCGCTTTAATTCATCATTCTTCAAAGGTGTTCTATGGGGTTAAGGTCAGGACTCTGCGGCAGGCCAGTCAAATTCCTCCACCCCAAACTCGCTCATCCATGTCTTTATGGACCTTGCTTTGTGCACTGGTGCGCAGTCATGTTGGAACAGGAAGGGGCCATCCCCAAACTGTTCCCACAAAGTTGGGAGCATGAAATTGTCCAAAATGTCTTGGTATGCTGGAACTAAGAGGACAAGCCCAACCTCTGAAAAACAACCCCACACCGTAATCCCCCCTCCACCATTTACACTTGGCACAATGCAGTCAGGCAAGTACCGTTCTCCTGGCAACGGCCAAACCCAGACATGTCCATCGAATTGCCAGACAGAGAAGCATGATTTTTAGCTCCAGAGAACACGTCTATATTGCTCTAGAGTCCAGTGGCAGTGTGCTTTACACCACTGCATCCGCTGCTTTGTATTGCACTTGGTGATGTAAAGCTTGGATGCAGCTGCTCAGCCATGAAAACCCATTCCATGGAGCTCTCTACGCACTGTTGTTGTGCTAATCTGAAGGCCGCAAGAAGTTTGGAGGTCTTTAGCTATTGAATCTACAGACAGTTGGTGACTTCTGCACACTGTGCGCTTCAGCATCTGTGATTTTACGTGGCCTACCACTTCATTGCTGAGTTGCTGTTGTTCCCAGTTGCTTCCACTTTGTTATAATACCACTAACAGTGGACCGTGGAATATTTAGTTGCAAGGAAATTTCACAGATAGACTTATTGCACAGGTGATGAGTCGAATCGAACTTGGCGAAGTGGAATTCGTTTCGAAGATGTAGGAAAATTCGAAAATTAGCAGACCTTCGGCATGCGCCGAATCGAAATTTTCCAAATATGGCGGCGACATGTGTGGCGAAACGGTTGCGGGATCTCTGGAAGGCGCGCCCGACAAGGCGCGCTGACCCAAATGC